TTATTAAGAGTAAAGGCATTTCATTAGCAATATTTACCTGACAAGCTTTTGAATTGTTTTTAATGGATAATCTTCAACGAAATTGTAGAGCTTATTATAAAATGTCAAACTCTCTTTTTTCGGGATGGTAAACACTCTTGTCTGAATTTTTCCGGGCTGCAAAATGAAGGTGTGCCAAATTCGCAAAACGTTTGTTTGACTTGGCACTTGTGCGCAGCGAGAATAGTGTCATCGAACACACGTTATAAAAACGAACTACCAATATGTCACACGTAGACCAAGAGCGTGGTCGTGCACATTGTGCGCAACGGAGATGCACCGACTCCACGTTTGGCGAGATATCATCTCTGTTGCAGCTATGAATGAAATCATGCTATGGGATACGTGATAAACAACGAATTCCTGAGCTCTGTCTGCCTTCTTGCTGCGGACAGCGCATAGAGCGAGGAGGTTGTTTCGGCGTATGGCGATTTATCGGAGGCAACGGTTGTATAGCTGATTAGGTTTCGCTTTCTGTTCATTCCTTCTGCCTGCGTACCGCTTGCGAACCGCACACACTACCCGCTATTTCGGATTTTCTGCGGGCAGGCTGTGAACGCGAATGGCGACTCGCGTTACGACGCATGCGCAGTCGCAGCGACCACACCGCAAGGGCTCGCGGTGCGCTATTCTAAAGCTCACTGATAAGAAAAACCACAGCGCAGCCTTTCTTTTGTGACGCGTCATTTTGTTTCCCGGCTAACCAAAGCTCCGCTCAGGTAGATTCCCATACAGTATGCCGATTTCTGTATCATTGGTTTTTTTTTACATACCGAATACTTCGAGGCTTCATCCAAATATAGCGAAAAAACAAGCGGAGACTACTGAAAAATAAGCTATGTCTTTAGTATTAAAAAAAAAGGGGGGGGGGGAAGGCTTAAGATGCTCTCAGAAAATGCCTTAGGTGAATTTGGCGAAGCTTTTATATATTATGAACGACTGTTTCGGCTTTGTTTGAGTCATATAATGAACATGGAGAGTTTCAATAACATGAAGTTTTGTTATACATTTGGGTTCTTTTCTTTTTTTCAAGTTCTTTCACCGTTGGTCTGAGCACCCCTGACTGTCGAGTCGGTGCACGTGACTAATTGTAAAACGAGAAAAGCATGTTAACGAGTCGACAAAAAGAAAAGGGGAGAAAAAACATATTGCAGCCGTAACCTTCCCAATCACTGTAATTTAGTTGTTTCGCCTATTATAAAAGAGATGCAGTTGATTTTATGTGCGTATACACAGTTTGTATAGGAGAACTATAAGGGAAGCAGGTATCTATCTGACAACTAGGAGCCTTCGGGTATTACGGAACCTTCTATGTATACGTGCACCAGGCCCCGGAAACTTCGCGCTAGTTTCGATTTCAAGGAACATGCACGCTCGTAGCGGTTGCCGGAATCTTAGGATCCGGTTGAACGCGTAGTGAGGTTGATGTGAATGTTCGCATTTATTGGCTTTCACAAGTTTTTACAAACAAAAAACATCAATACCCCTGTAAAGAACTTCTCTTTTGTTTATATATCTTCTCTTTTCTTATTCCTTATTTTGGGAATTTTAAATCAAGTGAAGCGCGGGAAGTGATTCACTTGCGTTCGTAGCGCCTCCCTCTGCACCTCACCCTTCGCTCAGGAATATTTGAACCTGGATCGCGCTCAGTTATCTCGCTCAGTTAACGTGTCAACTACGGAAAAGATAAAGACAGAAAGCTGTGGCGGGCAGAGAACGGAAGCCGCATTGAGCTACGCCGAACCAGTCAACCATTCATGCATACGTCGAAGATTGCTTAATCGGGCAACACGTGTTTTCTTTGGCTCTGCGTTGTGCTAACCCGAGGATTTTTATAATTACTGGGGGTTACCGACCCAAAACCACGATACGATTATGAGAGACGCCGTAGTGGAGGGCTCCGGAAATTTCGACCACCTGGGGTTCTTTAACGTGCACCCAAACCTGAGCACACGGGCCTACAACATTCCCGCCTCTATCGGAAAGACAGCCGCCGCAGCCGGGATTCGATCCCGCCTCCGGCGGGTCAGCAGCCAAAAGCCTTAGCCACTAAACCACCGCGGCAGGGCAACTCGAGGATTTTTAGTTCCGCGAAGCACAATAATTTGGACTCCTTATTTGAGCAGGTATAAATTTCCATGAGTACGTATGAGTAAACCCAGTTATCTGCAAGCCTGACTGGACTGACAGTAGTGCAGTGTCGCTTGACTATAATTGTTGGAGACGGCAGCCAAGCCCCCTGTCGGGAAAATGCGTTTCATGAAAGGCTTGAATTCGAGTTGGCTCGGCTACACCGTTTTAGCTTCTTTTACCTTTGGCGTGTAGTTCAAACGATGTCGAGTAATTATAGGCTGCTTCCTGCTCATGAAATTCTTGTAGCCACGGTTTAAAAATTTGTGAGTCTTTACTTGTAGTAGTGTTACTTAAATGTACGTGGTGCGCTAAATGCTTCTAAAAGTTAATACAGACTGGCGATGGAGCCAACGTTTTGACAAGGGAACTTTTCTTCATCAAGCAAACGATGTTGCCCTGACGAGGACAAGTCATTTTGCAGAAAAACTGTTTCCAGCGACGTTCTTCTTCGAAAAACTTTTGATCGCTTCAAGCCTCTTCGTGCCTCTGAAATTCACTCTCGTTTGGTACTCAAGTTCTTTAAGAGAACTATGTGCGCCGTCATAACAAACGTGATTGAGTCAAATACGATGCGTCCTATTCACGAATGTTGATGATTTTCGCAGTGATTCAGATATTCTGGGTTCAACTTTTGCTCCTTATGTCCGTATATCAGTTGTAAGTTAAAGCTGCTTTTATAGATTGACACTTTCACACTACGTGTATAGGTCGGTTTTTATACAAAACGTGCAATAAAAAGTTCGTTTTCTTTGCGTGCTGATCGAGTTTCGTCTTACTGAGAAATCAGTCAGCTTGACTTTCGCCCCTTAAGAAAACACGAACAAAATTAAGAGAAAGAAAGATTGACAAAATTTGATGAATGGCCGCATCGCCCATGCGGCCAGCAGACCTGAAAGAAGGCGCGAGCGCATTCCGCTTGCATGCGAAGGAAGGGTTTCCGCTTAAACCCTCCTCTCCTCTCGATTTTCTATCTATCTATCTATCTATCTATCTATCTATCTATCTATCTATCTATCTATCTATCTATCTATCTATCTATCTATCTATCTATCTATCTATCTATCTATCTATCTATCTATCTATCTATCTATCTATCTATCTATCTATCTATCTATCTATCTATCTATCTATCTATCTATCTATCTATCTATCTATCTATCTATCTATCTATCTATCTATCTATCTATCTATCTATCTATCTATCTATCTATCTATCTATCTATCTATCTATCTATCTATCTATCTATCTATCTATCTATCTATCTATCTATCTATCTATCTATCTATCTATCTATCTATCTATCTATCTATCTATCTATCTATCTATCTATCTATCTATCTATCTATCTATCTATCTATCTATCTATCTATCTATCTATCTATCTATCTATCTATCTATCTATCTATCTATCTATCTATCTATCTATCTATCTGTGTCTGTCTGTCTGTCTGTCTGTCTGTCTGTCTGTGTATCTATCTATATATCTGTCTGTGTATCTATCTATATATCTGTCTGTGTATCTATCTATATATCTGTCTGTGTATCTATCTATATATCTGTCTGTGTATCTATCTATATATCTGTCTGTCTGTCTGTCTGTCTGTCTGTCTGTTCAGTCCGTTCGTTCTCAAAAATGAAATGCGTGAAGAAATTCAGTGTGCCGAATCTATAGAGTACGCGGTGGTCTGGTGGCTAAGGCGCTCGGCTGCTGACCCGCAGGTCGCGGAATCGAATCCCGGCTGCGGCGGCTGCAATTCCGATGGAGACGGAAATGTCGTAGGCCCGTGTACTCAGATTTGGGTGCACGTCAAAGAACCCCAGGTGGTCGAAATTTCCGGAGCCCTTCACTACGGCGTCTCTCATAATCATATAGTAGGTTTGGGACGTTATAAAGTCCACATATCAAAGTCGCTATTGTTTTTTAGTGTTTTTTAGGGAAACTCTTCTTCGTCTTCGCTTTGGCTCAAAAAATTGAGAACTATGCTTCGGGGACCTCGAGCGTCATGGACGCGTTAGAGCAGTGGCGTCGATCGCCGTCTCGTTAGGCTAAGTATGCTTTTTCTGCTCTACACCTGAAATATAAATAAGTTTACCCCCGAACTTTAAAAATAAAATACGTAAGAAAAATGGAAGGTGGGTTAATATTGCGTACACTTATTTTATTCTGGGTGCGTTTTGTTTCCGGACGCCTGCGTGTTAGACAGTGCAGCCAGGATTAGAGGTTGGGTGAAGAGCGAGCTGAAGGCATAAAATATTTAGTGCCGGGTAACCTGGAGCCTTCGGCGAGCGGCCGTGCCCGAATCCCCTGACCGGGCGTGACGAGCCTCTCCTCCGTGGTCTCTTCCAGCTGTCTCGCACTCTCCCTTCCCGGCGACAGCAGCCGAAGCACTGGCCCGAAAAATACCTTTTATTCCCCACTCTGCAGAGTTCCGGCAGCACTGGGCCCCACTCGGAGCTCTCATCTCAGAACCCGTGGCGCCGGCCCGTCGCCCAATATTGCGAACAGAAAACGGCGAGGGAACAACGGGAAAAGAGATGAATAGGAGAAAAACGATAACCAAAGGCGCCGTCGCCGCCCCGCCTGCACCATCACCTGCTCTTCCTCATCCCGCTCGCGCCCTGTCTCGTCACCAGCATGCGCCACTGCTGTGCGCTTTCCTATCGACGCTAGAGAGCGCGCAGCGCGTGCGCGTGAGAGAGGAGAAAAAAAGAAAACGCCCGCAGCGCGCCCACCATGCGTGCGGCGTCGTCTGGAACGACGAGCCGGTCCGATAGGGGTTTTCTTTGGCGTGAGATACTCTACTCCACCCAGCGTTCCCGATCACCGCCACGGCCGACCTTCTCTCCTTCGTCGGGCGTTCTCTCTTTCCCACGATCCGAAACTGAAAGTAAAATGTTTCTGCACCGGTCCCCGGCGGCGGCGCGGGAGCCCACAGAGCCATTCGCAGAGTAACGGTCTCGCCGCGAGCATCGTCGCGTGCGTCCTCCGCTCCTCTTGGTCGTCATCGCGTTGACGGCGTGCTGTCCTCGGGCTCTCTGGTGATGCGCACGATCACGTGCTGCCTGCTTTGACGCGACGCCCCTGCTGCACGCGCGCAAGCTTACGTGAGGCCGCCCGCTGCGGTGACCTGAGCGCGTGCGTCGCTGGACTTTCCCCGCACCAGCTCGTCACCGGCTCGGACGCATCTTCGCCGCATCGCACCAACTTAGGGATTAGACCACTTTATATAGTCTTCGCCGGCGGCTTTGTTTTTACGCTGATGAACTCGATAGCGGCAGTAACAAAAAAGGCCTGATAAGAGTGGAGTCACTTGTGTAGCGTGAACCACTGTCCTTGTTTTTCGCGCGACATCTTTGGCGCCCGCTTTATCGTGCGACCTGCACCTCCACTCAGACTTCACCGGGCCCCCCGCCAGCTCTACTACCAGTTTCATTCGATGTGCGAGAGTGTCCACTGCTTCTTCGGAGTCTACATCAGACTGTGTTCTCTTTGAACCCATGGAAATTTTTTACTAAACAACGCAAGATTATGGCTGCGGAAACGGTATGTACTGCGTCCCTTACCGCTGTCATACTGTAAACATGCTAGGTCGGATCGACAAACTAGAACAAAGCAAAAGGAAACGTTCACTGATCCCTTTGTTTTGTTCTGTTACTGGTGGACTTTGCTGCGTCATGTTCAAGCAAGGCTGATTCGGAACGGGATGGCCGTGGGACAGAGATTAAGTAAACAATATCTCATTATTTCCGTATGTATAGCCGTGACAGTGAAGAATGTGACACCTAAATTTTGTCATTTTTGCAGAATTGAGTGTAGAATTATCAGGCACTCGTGCAGGTTGAGGAACGGCTAATAACAATGCCGGTGTTTTAGATCTGAGTTTAACTTCTCTGCTTCTTCCCGTGCAGAATTGGGATCGGCGTCCAACCTGTTCGAAAGGTGCAATCTTTTGCGCTAACGCTCTGTATTTGTCATACTGTCTAGGCTTTGGATGGTTTTGCTTTTAGCTTTATTTTGCTTAGTATAATATTGTAAGACTCTTGTACTTCAAACGTTGTAGTCAAGTTTTTTTTTTTCGGGACTTGACTAGACAAACAAAAAAAGGGGGGGGGGGGGGGCACCTCTTGGAGTTCACGTTGGCAAGACCTTGCGCGAAGGCAGAATAAAAAACAAAATGGCATTGTCACTCACCACGTCTGTCAACCATTTCCAGTGTATGCTTCTGGAAAACTTTTTTTATATTTGCTTTATATTTTATATTTACTCACATAAGTTTATACGGTTTAGGTCTGTTCGTGCCGCTGAAGCACATTCGCATCAATATATTCTAGCCTACAAGCTTAAGTACAACGACAAACCTGTACGCAGTATCATCGATTGAATGGCATCAATGTGTGCGTTTTGGGAGCCTTCCGGTTATGATCTACAGCGACAAGAAATGTTTCGCACTGAATTCAATGCACCAAATGTACTTGAAAAGTATTGCATGCTAAATAAAATATGTACTGATTCTGGCGAGAGAAAAGCAGTAGCGATTGCAGGACTCGACCGTGCAAGTAGAAAAAAGAAAAGGAGATGAGTGTTCCGGTGGCACATGCTACTTTTTTAGAGTATTGTTCTTATAACGGTATCATAATGTCATCAAGGAGATCTTGGGACCATGGTCTCATGCGTCTGCAATGTGTAATGCTACAAAATCGTTGATACACATCTTGAGAAGGACATGCCACTTGTGACGAATTGGACGAAGGACGTTTCCGTGTCCACGTGTGTATGTGCATAATGCAAACTTCTCCCGCTTCCTCATATTTGCATTTTCCCTGGGCAGGGTAGACAGACAACTCGACTCATCTTCGCTAACCTCTCTGCCTTTACTGTTGGCTTTATTATTTACATACGTCTCTTTTCAGCCATGATTTGATCCTTACGCCACTGGGTACACCAGAAAGAGAATAGCCACGGCGTTAACTATGCATTTTGCCATCAGTCGTGATTAAATGCACGTATCGCTGGTACTTTGGTTAATCTCCCTGCCTTGTTCCTGTTGTATTCCATCCATCTTTATGTGCGTGTGTAAGGGGGGGGGGGGGGGGAGCTGGGTGCCTAGGTGATTGTGTAGGGTGAAGGGATGTGATATTGAGGGGGGTATAAAATAAATGGAACGTGCTTGACATCTTGGGCAACAACAACTGTTACAACTGAGCCTAGATTATCAACGGCAATGTATAACTTTTTTTCAGTTAGAGTTGGTGTCAGTACAAAGGCAGTCATGCTGTTATTCAGCTACAAGGACTTGTGGAGTAGATTACAAGTATACTGGCCCGCACTTCTTCCTTGATTCTCGAATTAGACAAGCTATTACATTCTTTAGAGTGAATATCGTATGGCTAAGCTCTTAGTGCATTAGACAGTTTGCTTTCTTCTTGTCGCTTAATGTTTCACAAACCTATAATTCAGTCAGAGCTTAATGTGTATGTAATGACATGAAACGATCAATTCGAGAGGTAACTGGCACGCGCGCATTGTTCAAATTCGGCGGCGGGCCCTTGAAGTCGTCAAGGTGACATTCATTTTCGTCTATTAAGCGCGAAAGCAGATACGTAACTTAATCATTTAAACGTGATCAGTCTTTAATTCCTGATCGATGGCCTAATGATTTGGTTGATGTTGAAATTAGAGTTGGGGCACTGCTGATTTGACAGGCACTCGAGTGGCCTTAATTATATTTGGACAGTGTGTACATATTGCGAGTGCGTAATATCTAATCGCCTTTGCTGGCTATGGTACTAGTACCATTTCGTGCTCGCATCACCTGCATTGTTCAAACAGGGGCCTTCCATCACTCGCGCACTCGGAAAAAGAAACAAAAAATGAAGAATGAAAGAAGATTTGGAGAAAAAGTGAGGGAGGCAGCCTCAAAGAGCGAGCGCTGATTATTGTTTTCATACGCCCAGTGTGCGGCGGCCTGCGCTATTGTCTCGCGCTAATCGTCGGCTCTCAAGCGCCGAAGAGCTCCTTTCCCTCCGCTATCCGCGCGACGCGATTTTCTCCCTGGGAAAGGAAAGACGTGGGTGGTGCGAATAAAGCAGTGGTCGTTTTGTTTTAATCTGCGTCCTCATCACGTAATGGCGGCTCGGGGCGTGCACCCGCGGACCGCGAGCGTAATTCGCGCACGCGTTGGTCCGCTCGTGATTGAGGCGCGCTGCCGTTGTATACAGGGGCGAGCAAGGGCGGGGGTGGCGGCTTCGGTCGGCGCCAACCGGAAGCCACTGCGCGGTGCGAGCGATGCGCGGAGGAGAAACCCTGAGTCGGGCCCGCCGAGAGCCCTGCTGATGCGGCAGACAAAAAACAACCCGAGTTTTCCGGCGGCCAACCGCCTCCACCGCAGCCAAAGAGAAGAGAGAGGCCAACTTGAAATATGAATGGCCGATCCCCCGAAGCCTCCCTTGGATGCGGCCTGCCATAAGGTGGCAGGGGACGGTGCCGGCCGGAGCGTAGGCGCCTGCCCTGTTCGCGCCGGGCAGCGCATTGCCCTGCGCTGCTTCCTGCGTCCACAGTGTTCAGAGGAGGCAGCACCGCAATGGCAACGGCCATGCATGCACTCTTCCATCGACAAGTAACCCATTTGAGTCGCGGCCTTTTCGTGGATTGCCTCGTGACGCAGGCAGCATGCCGATGAGCGAGTCTTCGAGGCTGTCAGATTTACTCTGCCTCTCGACCTTAACTTTCGGAAGCCATGTCATCGATCAGTTTCCTGGGCACGCTCGATCATGGATGCCCACGCTGTGCCACTCTTGAAAGTCCAAGGTAGCTTGGGTGTGTGAATTCGGTCTGCTGACAAATTGGAAAGTTAGAACAAAACTGTATTGTTTGCATGCTTATTTCAGACCTTTGTTAACCCCTACCGCATTCTTTTGTTTCGAAGTGAAATATAATCTTAGGCCAACAATAGGCACATGCCGCACTCTTTTCTCTCTTCTCCCACCCTCTTTTACACCACAGAATATGAAAATAACTTGTTTTCGATTGCCTCGGAACGAGGCAGCACGCGTCTAACATAATGCTCTTGTTTTCATTCCACGTGATGGCTTCCAGGATGCCTGCTGCCCAGATAATATCTGTTCCCTGTTTTTGTTTTTACACGCTTACCAGACGCGGCCGTGCGCGCCCTTCTTAAGCACCTACCCACTTCCGCTGTTTTATCAGCGGCGGGCACTCTGTCGCTCGGCCATATAAACTACACAGTCTACCACGACGTTCTTCTGACCTGCAATATGTTGGTGTTTTCGCTTCCGGCTTCCTAATTTCACCGGTAAAGTGTCACTCGCGTTTCTTACCCGGAACCGAAGAAAGACATATAACACTGAACGTACAGGTCTGTTCGCTTCGCTTTTTTTTCCCCAACGTTAGTCCTGTCAACGGCCGAGTGCAGTGACGTCTTGTAGCTGCCGTTGTATAAGAAACCTCGCCTTGTTACGTGCTATCGAGCACGTGTTTTCAAGCTCTCCGGCTTCTATGAGGTTTTGAAAGCTGAAAAAAAAAACAGTAAAGAGGTGAGGCGACTCGTTTTGTCTGTCACGATCCATCACTCGCTTTCTCTTGCACAATCTCTCAGTCGCTATCTCGCAACGCCGTCTACCACTTTCGCTCCGTTCCACTCAATCTTTTCGTGTTCCTCCTTCGCGCACCTGTGTATCGTGAACGCATGTTCGGTTCTTGCACTGCCGATTGTGGACTCTGCTCACGACACACCGAGGCAAGCCTTATATGCCGCTGGTTTCTTTTTCTTACACTGCGATACACGCACCAAAGAACAGCGCGAATCTGTTGTAGCACGTGATTCCCGCGTTATACGAGGAAACCGAAGAAGAAAAAAAGTGGGGGCACGAAACGCAATCGCAGATAACACTTAACAATAACAGAACTTGCCGAGCAACGTGTCAATTAAACGAGGTCTTCCTTATACACTAAGAGGCCACGGCGCTGGTTCCACCAGTCTCTATTCGAAATGTGATCATCGCGTCATAAGAATGACCGTATACGTTGCTTAGGCGGCTAGCGTATGCCTACCTGATAGAGCCGCAGTTGTTGCACCTGAGGGTTGCCATACAAAGAACAATTAAAGCTACACTACGTATTAACGCATTAGACTTACCGTATCGTATAAACGCCAAAGAAACAACCTCTGAGAGGTATTTCAAACACTCCTCCTCAGTTACCCAAGTCCAGAAGAAATTATTTAACGGGTCAGAATATAGTCTCCTGGAAGTACATTGGCCCAAAACTCATTAATTTCCCCTTAAAGTTTTGTCATTTCTATACGCTTTCTTACTCTTCCTTCCAAGCTATAGGCTAGTCGACCAGCCCTCTTTTAAGAGCGTCGGCATTTGCGCCTTTGTTGATTGGTGGTTCGAATCTCCCTAGATGTCCACAAGTTCCCAAACATGCCACCATATCACTGCTATTAACACAGTGACGAGAGGCCATCAAAAAATAAAAATAACAATAAAAAAGAGCTCATTAAACTTCACGTATTTTGGCGC